ATTTGCATCTGTCTCCCCAAAGTAAATCCCACACCTTCCCCACCCAAACAACTGAGAAGTTGCTCTGCCACCTCTAACGCCACTGCCTACCAGTCTGCACTGGTGCCATAGCTCTGCTGACCTGATGTTGCCAAAAGCAGCACTCCGTGGGCTTTGGACTAAGGTGCAGGCAGGAGAATTGCCAAATGAGTGCTGTGAGGGACAGGCAGAATATTAACAGGGAGGTAAGAAGGGAGTGTGTTAAAAAAGGGTGTGCTTCACGGATGACAAGCAACTCTTTCATTTTATTCTTCTACACTGACTCCTGCTCCCACAGAAGCCAATTCCAGCATAATTGGTTGTTTCCCCCGTTTCCAATTTCAGTCTACAAATGGATGTTCTGAAACCTAAAGTCTTAGGTGACAACACTATTCTTTCCAAGCAAAGCAGCTGTGTGCTTTATCAGTAAAAAAATGTTTCTTGCTGGGATTAAGAGCAAATAAAAGCTGCTGGCTTCTGATGTATGCAATGATACCCACAGCACTATGTATATTTCTTAAATATACATAGAAAGGAAAAAAAAATAGGCAAAAAAGCAAAAAAAATCATATCCATTTTATATCTGCACACAAACACTACTGTGCAAGTGCAAATGCTTCCCCAACCATTTCTTGTCACATTATCTGTGGAAATAATCAACAGATCACAATCGAGACGTTTAAGCAGCAATCTTCTCATTTAATTTTGTTTGGAACAACAGTATATCTTCAGAATTTTGAACACATTCATTCCCTTTTACCTAATTAAACACACTACTGTAGTGACTGTAGGACTACAAAATAGATTAGTATTAATAAAATATTATGTAATAGTAGCTAATTTTATCACCTTGGAGACCTACAGTTCATCAAGACAGAAAAATCAAAATGAAGGTTTTTGCTGTTACTTCAAAAGGTTCTACAGCCTAATACAAGGGCCATATTCCCGTTTTAAATTACAAATGAGTATAAAGTAGTTAGATTTTTTTCAAGGTGATAACAGTAGGTGAACATGTATTAGGAAAATCCATGAACTAAGTCTGCAACTGCACTTTCAGACTTCTCAACTGTCAGCATAAAGTGCTTTTGCTGGGAAGCAAAAGGGACACAGAGCACTGTGGGTAGCAGTAACAGTGGTTAATGCCACAAATTTAAACAGTTTTAGTGGACAAGGGAATAAATTATAACATCCACTAATCTCGCTCCTTACAACGGAAAAACCAGCCAAGTACTTCAGGATCATTATACTGTGTTCCAAGGATCCCCGAATTAAATTGGTATTCAAGAGTGCAAAAACTGTGCAAATCTGAACAAACGCAACAGCATTTTCTCCTTCCTTGTGTAAATGGAAGACATGCTGGTGGACTCCCCTGCTTTGCGCAACGTTTTACTTACAATACAGAGGAACTCCACATGGCAACCTTGATTTGGATTAAATGAAGTAGGACCCCAGAGGCACGTTACAGGTTTTCAATAAGCTAGGTATTGATCCAAGAAACTAAAAATGGCTTTAAGCAACACACAGATCTGAGAGCAATTTCTCCTGAAATTATGAGATGGCATTAAAATCTGTCATTAATACTAAAAACAACTAGTGGCAATAAAAGAAAATTAATTTTTATAGGTCTAGGTTACTTTTCCATAGTGGAAGTCTTTGTTGAACAGAACAAGACAAAATACACTCCTCCCAAATTCTTCATTCCTCCTACTTACCAGCTTCTTGAAATTTATCAAAAAGCACTCTGATTAACTGGTCATGTTCAGTTCAGACATCTCTCATTCATTGGTGAAGATTTTGTGCAATTTTAAACCAGGATGAGCAGCCACTTGTTTTTTTTGGTTTGGGTTTGTTTTTTGTTTTTATTTTGTTTTGGTTTGTTTTTTTTAAAATACTCAAAGAATTAAGTTTTTAACCGTGATCCTTGGCATCCAATACTTAAACACTCGGCACTGATATTAAGCCAGAAACAGGTTATTATTTCTTCCAGGTCCAGCTTGCTACTTGCAAAGGCCTGAGGACATACACCTCTCTTTTTTGTAAACTATCTAATTTGTGTTTTAGTTAGCCATTTCGGTACTTTCTAACTTACTTGAATTTAGTGTTTGACGTGTTTTGGCACTTGTGCAATATGCTTCAATGACTTTAAGAATTTGAGCATCTTCTTCTAAAGCAGCTGTACCTAGAATCAATGGGAAAAATAGAATTTTAAACATGGTTGTGCTTCTTAATACAGAAAAAGCCTTTGTAAATCACTACATTTGAGTCCAAAGTTCAGCCTAATCAACCCTTTAAAATGCTCTTAATCATCCTGTTTAAAAAAAAAAAAAAAAAAAAAAAAAAAAATCAAACTTCAATGAGCAAAAGTAACAGTTTCAGAAGACAAAATACTATTTTGAAACGCTTGGAAAAAAACGCAAGGCAGAGTAATTGCCCACACATTCAAGAAATTTTCTGAAGCACCTGAAGTTGCACAGAATATGTTCTGAAGTGTGATCACTCTGGTTCTAAACATAACAACCGTTCAACTGAAAAGAACTGTATACTCCAGTTATTTTATATATATATATATATATATTATTTCATTACTTAATCAAAGAAATCAAGGAACAGAACATTAACTCACAGACAAGAAATCTTGAAAACTTGGGTTTTGTAAATATATCAGATTTACCCCTTTCAACAGCACACCACTGAAAATCAAACTCAATTACCAGCATAATAAATACGTTAGTACAATTTCAGTCCAGCGTGCAGTAGGAAAGATGTTGTTATTATGTATCTGTGAAAGGTGGAGTAATTAAGCTTTTCAGACTTCGAAGTAGAAACAGCACTGCTGGAAAAAATCTAACTATTCAAGCTTAACATGGCAAAGTTTTCCTAAAGATAGAGCTCCACTGCAAACGTTCTCGCAGAATTCAGTAAAAATGCTGTCAAATTGTACACTTGCAACACAGTGAAATTCCAATCGAACTGAAATCTAGAGGTACCTCTACCATTAGTTTAGATGGAACCAGGAGTCTATGTGTAGGGCAGGACAATTTCTTGGTTTAAAAGCATTTTTCCTGTTTTCCTCTTTGAAAAACCTAGGCTTGAAGATTTTCTGCTGTGTGAATCTGAATTGCCTTCCACACAGTAGTATTCTCTGTCAACCAATGCATCCTGTTAGTTTTTGTGATTTATTATGACCAGAACAAAGCCAACTGTCCAACATTTGTCAAGATCACCTGACAAACAGTTGAAAAAATTATCTTGACCCAATATAGCTTCCCTACAGTTTAAGAGATGCAGGTACTCTGAAGTACAGGTTATTTCTCTTTCAAGGCAGGAAAAATAATTGGATTTCATTGCGGTTAGAATGCAGCACCGTATCATTACAGTAGCAGGACAAATATTTCACTTTTGAAACGAGTGTTGTGAGGGCACTCAGCTGAAATACCTTATTTTGGTTTGCCTGTTATAATGCTAATTTGACATAGCAGTTCTCAAAACACTGCCCATAAATCCCTGGGATTCCAGAGAAGAGAAGTAGTAAAACCCAAACCTCTCTCTGAATCAGCTTTACATTTGAAGTTCCTTCAGAAGAAAACTTTTACAGCTTCACAAGATGGAAAAGGTTGAAGGAGCACTAACATACAACAGAAGCTTCTCATTTCTGACACAAGGAGGGAAAACAGAGATGAATACCAAGAATCAGTAAAAATTTCTGTAATACCCTCTGACTTAAAGCCACTCCTTTTAAAAAATTCCTTTTATTGAAAGTTATCTCTTACATATTTAATCAGGAGTAGAACCATGTATTTGCAAGCTACAGACCCCCTCCTTCCTCCAAAAAAGAATTCTTATCTCCTCTCATTAAGTGTTCTTTAGAAATTCCTAAATCTGCAAGTTGACAGCTTTACTGCTCTCATTAGAACTTCTGAATCTCCATCCTCCAATATCTGAAATGATACTGTAATGCAGTACTTTCATTTTTCTTAAACGGGTACCTTCCTGTAAGAATAAACATCCTGAACTAAAACGTCCACTTGCATGTGCATGAACACAAGATCTTTCTATTCACTACCTTAACCTTTGCCATATGAAATTTGCAGCACATTCAGAAAGACATCCACCTTAGACAAACCAACAGTGCCCTGAGGAAAAGCTTTTTTTCTTCAACCCTACTTAAACCAGCGAGACACAACATTCACGATAACACACTTCACACACTGAACGCTCAAGGCACAGTCTCTTATCTTAAAAAGCCCACGAGCAAAGGGCAGACACAAAGAAGCAAAAGTTGCATCAAAAGAATCCACCCTTCATCTTAAATATTCTGTATTTTATTGATACAAGTAACTGGATTATTCATTCACACATATTTCTAAGGAAGAATTCAAGTGATGTTGGCAACTAAGTGAATACTGTGTTTGCTTGGCAACATTAATGTTTCCTCCACCCCAGATTATCCCAACATCCAGATTTCGAGCTTTCTGTTTTTCTATACATTCAGGAGTCTCAATTCAGTGTTGTTCTTCAGACTTCAAGCAGTCTAATGCTCTGGAATTTCTTCGGACACAGACACTAGTAAATGACCTTATTTCTAGGAGATTTGAGCAGACTGTTGGATCTTAGAAAGAGTGACCAGGGAAGCAACTAATCTTCAAACAAGCAGCAAAACCCAGCCTTCCAACACCCAGATCAGCAGAAGCTCCTACACCTGTGTTTAAGAACACAGCTACTAAGTATTCTGCAAGAGTGGGTCACTATCTTCAAATGGTTGTTTACAGTATTAAAAGACAGGTTTACTTTAGTGACCTTTACACGGCTCTGCAGTCAACTTCACTTCCCCCTGTAGCAAACACAGAAATAGGCACTTCACAAGCATCCACTACAGTCAGTAGTAAAGCTCTAGAAAGCAACTAATGCCATCGTGACATAAGCACTTAAGATGAAAAAATCAAACCATCCTCTGGAGATACCTACCCCCTCTCCCCTGACAGGAGAGAGGAAGCCAGAGATGACTTGCTTACACTGTACATCTAACTTTCACAGAACTTAAACTGATGTTAATTCCAGTCTTTGTATTATGCAGACATTTGTTCAAGTCTCTCTTACTTTTTCTCAGTGCAAACTCTTCATCTGATGGCTTCCGTTCTGGCTTGCGTTTGGGAAGCAGCTTTTTCATGGTTTTAGGGCTTTTACTGAGATCCTGTGTGGGGAAAAAAAAGAATAAGAAGAGTAGAGCTTCTCTACAGTATTTCAGAAGTTTAACTTCTAAGATGCATACAGGAATTACTAACTAAAAACCTTTGAACAGCATCAAAATTCAGTTTACCGGTATTTTCTGGCACATCAGGTTTGCCTGAACTGGCTGATTTCCTCTCTACCCTTCGTCCAACTATACACAAGATCAGATATTTTATCTGTTCTATTTACAGAAATACACAGAAAAGCTGCTGCAAAAGCATGCAGGCTGTTTGGGAGCTAGAGCAAAGGGAAGAGGCAGGCACACATTAACACAGGTTTTTCTTTCCTTAACTTTTGAGGAGACGACCCATTTCACTTGTCTACTTAGAAGCAGGTAAAAAAGGACCTAACAAGGAAGCTCGGCAGGTAGTATACTCTTTGAAGCCAGAATCTGTAAATGTTTAGGTCTGTTCTTACAAAGCTCTACAGCAAAAAAAATACAGCAACAAATACAGCAATTCTGCTCAAAACGTGGTCATGCTAATTCACAGGAACAATGCCAGGTTACAGGAACAAAAGGAATGTACTGGTCTACACCCCTTACCTTAAGGATACAAGACATCCTCTATAAAAATACAGAACAAGAAAGTAAAAAGGTGAATGAGCAGGACAGAACAAAGAAGATGAAGATAGGTTTTGAATATCATTGTATGATAAACACTGTGAAGATGACTGAAATTCTACCACACTGGAGAATTTAGTGCCCTACACATAAAAACACAACAGGAATTTAACTTAAATTACAAAATGAGCATATAGTACAGCCAAACAGAAGAACCTCTTGTAGCAACTAAGCCTAAATACTAACCTTGCAATTGAAGATCACCTATCACATTTTCCCCCGTTGTCTAGGGGATTTACAGAAGAAAAGAAAAAAGTCACACACACAGCCACCACGGAAAAAAACCAAACAAAACAAACCAAAAGCACATAGCCAGGCCACACTGGGGCACAGTGTTTAGGCTACAGTTTCTAAGGATCTGCAATTTACCTATCTGCAAAATAAAATTTTTCTGTCGACATCTCATGCTTGCAGAATAAAACGTTCTTAGGCTTAACTGCATGACTCTTTCTGGGCCCTGTTGCTTCACACTAAATTAGTATCACGAGAACGCCTGACAAAGACACTTGAAACAGGAGATACCGCCAAGCCACAGAGCATCCAATATTCTCCTCCTTATATACACGCACAGACCCATCATAAATCTGACATTTTCTTGCTATTTATGGAATTACACAAAATGTAGTGGCAGGACTCGATTAACCTACCACCACCATCTTTTTGTGGTCAAAACCAACACAGTTTATCTTTCTTGGAACAGATTCCTGTTTCCTATCATATGCTAATTAAAAAAATACAACAGCATCTTAACATCTAAGGTCTTTATTTTGCTAATGATAACATTAGCCATTAGATTCTTCTGAGTACAAAACCATTGTATGTATTTTGAGTTACCATTCTTTTTTTAAAAAAAGATACGCTATTGTTACATAGTAACAGTAGTAAACACTGAGGAACCAAGAGTCAGTTATACCACCATAGATGTTTAGAACCATTTGAAACAGCACTTAGAAGCATCATAGGCTCCCTTATCCTAGGTACTCTGCAGTGTCCTTTGCAAATAACCTATTTTGCAATAAGCCCATATGATCAACATAACAAATGAATTGCTAGTTTTTTTTAAAAAAAAAAAAAAAAAAAAAAAAAAAAGAAACAGTCATATCTATTAACTGGATAAAAGGTAGAAATAAGTGGAAGCACTTGGAGGAGGTTTGAGAAGCCTCTCCTAACAAGCCTTAGTACTTTGAGCTGCAAGACTAAATCCCCGTTTGAAACAAACAGCATTCACTAGTCCATTACCATTGATTCAGCGTTGCCTGTTAAATCATCTTCACGTAAAAAACATGCACAAAATTGTAAACCAGTAGTGTGTAAACAAAAATGTTAAACTTCCCACTGTAGGTCTGCTACAGAGTCATATTTCTTCGCTGCCACGTCTCACCTCTTTGTAACAAAGAGCTGCTGAAGGCCGTAACGGAGGCGCGGGCCGTAAGCAGCTCAGACTCCAAGGTTTGGGGGTTTTCGGAGGTTCCAGAGGTCCCCAGTTTATCGTGGTATGTGGAGTCCCATGATGTGATGGATGAGGGAGAGTGTGGTACGCAGGAGTCAGTGGTATCGGTTTGCTGTCTGAATGCTTGCTGGAAGGTGTTATTGGATGGGAAGGAAGCTGTCAAAGACAAGAAGGTGATAGGAAGGGAAAGAAAGCCTATTATCATAATAAAGACATAGTATCACATCAAGGAGTGATGAAATCATCTCACTTGCTATCTAGAGATGGGGTTTATTACAGCTGCCCTTTGAAAAATTTTATACAAAATTATTATTTGAAAAAACAGAGCTTAAAGAAATTTTATTGTCTACCACAGACAGAGCATGAACTAAAGAAAGAACAGCTATGAGCAGCTCTGCTCCCACTTCTCTCACCACTAAGGACTGAGCTAAATTTAGATCCATTCATATCCAACAACGCAAGTGCAGAACCCAAAAGAAGGTACTTAAGGAAAGTGTTTCTCCACAGCCTGTCAAGTACACCACCAATTAAAACCTACTGTTCTAAGGATACTTAAAAGACCATGATGTATTCCTTGGTCAAAACAGAAAAAGTAATGATAATGAATTTTCTTTTACCTTGTTAAATTATTACACCAACTTCTAAGCATTTTATTCTTTGTTCACACTGTTAATAACAATGATCTTTTGACCCATTAAACTACAGTCATAACACTCAGTTCTTGTAACTAATGGCTAAAAAATGCTTTACTCGGTGGCATATTTGCCAGATAAACTCATTCTGCATACACTGCTCATTCACTTTGATCCAGAAGCTCTTCCTTACCGTGTGAGATGGCACAGAGTGAGGTTTAATGGTGGGATTCCCAACAGTTGTGACTTTGGTTTGCTTCTGCAGGTGATCCACCCATTCATGCAAATCTTGTTGGTTATTACAGGACACTAGTATCCTTTCAATCATATTTCCTAGGTGAGAGAAAGCAGATGTAGGAAACCACAGAAGAACAACTTAGTTAATCTGACATGATTATTAAGACACTAATTTCCTAAAACATTCTATCCTGTAAGTACTAAGCAAAATTTTAACCTGTTTTCAGTACAAGAGCATCTCACTTTTCCAGGTTGTAACAGACATTTCTTCCATGTATTTGTTCTTGTGACAAGCATAGGAATTCCACTTTTTTCCCCACCCCTAATAATTAAACCTTCAATGACAAAAAACAGATGTAGTAGTAGACAGGCTCATCTAATAGTCTAATGCTTCTCCATCTTCCCTAGAAAACCCAACATATAGCCTAAAACGTCATGCTTTACTCTGTAAGCTACAATATATGAAAAGTTACAAAAACAGTTCACTGATACTTCTCTCAGAAAAAGGCATAAAGTTGGTCTGAAGCTAGTATTAAAGCTGAGGCAAAGTCACTTGGGAAAGCAATTTTAACCGAAGAGTACTTTAATTTCTGCAGTTAGGTCCATTTTAACCCATCACATTCCTCATCCGAGTTCAGCTTCATAGCTGTTATCTCAGAGGAGCACGTACCTCCAACGACTTTCTCCTTCTGCCTCATAGCATTGATGTGTGATGCTGCCTGCCACTTAAGAGTGTCAAAATTACTTTATTGAAATGCAACCTGCTTGGAGGCAGAAGTGATCCAGGAAATGAAGGTATAAAGCTCCACTGTGTGGACCCCGTTCCCACTGACCTTTAAACTGCTCAGGGATCTGTGCTGAAACAAATGATGTAACAGACAAACTACCCAAAGTGAGCACAGTGGCAATCCACTAGAGATGCTAAAGGTCTCTCAGGAAAGAGGTGGACCATTTCTAGAATAAAGCTCTTCTTTAAAGCTCTTACAAAGTAGCTGGAATTCCTTTTCTTCTACTGAATAGCATATTCTGAACTGATTCGTTATAAAGGACCTTCTCCAAGGCTACTGTCTCCATTCAATAAAATACAGAAATTTGGGGATGAATCCAATGCAGACAGACAGTTAACTGCTTCAGACAAGCTGTGAAAAGCAACTTTCAAGTGAGGCTCTGGGTAGCTGCCTTACAAAATTTGTATAATCAGAGGATGGTTGAGCTTGAGCAAGGGATCTCTGCAGGTCATCTACTCCTCTGCTCAAGCACAAACACCTCCAGCTGGTTGCCCAGGACCGTGGCCAGAGATCTTTTGAGTATCTCCAAGGATGGAGATGTCTCCAGGCAACCTGTGCCAGCGCTTGGTCACCCTTAAAATTAAATTTTTTTTTTTTCCCCCCTGTTCAGACAGAATATTTGATGTTTGAAATCACATATCTTGGAGCAAGTAGTAAATAAAAATATTTACAGTCAGTACCTGATATTTCAAATGCATTTTTATGGTTTTCACTGTCTTCTAGCTTTGTGATAGTCATTCCTGTCATTGGCAGTTTTCCCTAGAAAAAAAAAAAAAAAAAAAAAGCAGTAACACTGAAGTTAAATCCAACACACAAAAAAGCATTACCAAGTAAAGAATATATAAACTTCAAGCTCTGAACAAAGATATACACAGTAAATTCACACACACACACGCCAATGGGTTTAAAAACATTTAAAAACCCACAAAAACACCTAATAGTGGAAGTTTTTAATATGCCCAACTTCTGCAAATGACACCTGCAACTTCAGCGAGTCTGCTGCCTATGCAGGCTGTGAAATCCACACAAATGTAATAGCGGTTGCTCATCGTAGCCTCAGGTTCTTGAAACAGAGACCTTCGGGGTCATCCACATTAACACAGTTAGAAGCAACAGTGACTCATCTTTAAACACATTTGTTTGCAAACTGTTTGATTAGCTCTCAAAATAGGGTTTGTGGTACAAGTAGATTTAGAAAGGAAGGTTTCACTAAGCAAATGCATCAATTATTTACAGAAGATTTATGTCTCTAACAACCCCACTACTACATTCACTCACAGAAATATTTGGGGAAAAAAACCACAAAAGCGGTAAAAACACCTGTAAATTTGTAACGTTTCAGAAGAACATACTAATTTTGCAGAAGACTTTAAACCCAGTCAAGCTGGAAAAAAAAAAAAATGACAGTTTAGGATAACTTTTTGGCCCTTTAGAAACACAGAAGAATAAATAAGACTGAATATTTTCAGAATGAAAGGCTTTACCAAAAATGCAACTTTTATTAAAGTTCTTTAAGACAGATCCTGTATTCTCCTCCTCAGAAACACTATTCAGCACATGTTGGCAAAAGTGCAAATACCATGTACTGTGGAATTCTGGCTCCAATGGAAGGGAAAGAAAAAAAAAACAACACTTTTTTTTTTTTTCTTTCCTAATGACTGCAGAATAGACAAAGGTTCCTTAGAAGCTTAGAAACTAAAAATCACTTGATATTCTGTATGCACAGAGCATGCTCAAGTCCAAGATGCCAAAGAGAAAGAAAGAGTTTTCTTGCAACAGCTTCCCCACTGCAGGAAACATGGTGGCATTGTGCACTACAAATGCAGCCTAAAATTCTCTTTTCTGTTTTTCCAGGTTTGCTGGATCATAACTAACATAGCATAGAGACACAATGAAAGAGAGGTGCAAGAACTGCTGACATAGGGAAATGGAAAGGGAATATGGGAATACACTAAGCAAAAGACTGGTGACAGAGAGCAAAGATCACCTGAACCACATGGAGAGAAAAAGTACAAAGCAAAACACAGAGAAAATGGAACTGAACTAAGGAATCATTGATATTCCCCTTCTTTCAAACAACAACTGTGAAGCCCTCCTGTGATGTAAGGTCTGTGCCCCTCGTGACTCTACCCACGCTAAAAGTTCTCCCAGTTAGTCCATGTGGCAGGTATCAGCACTATCAACCAGAAACTCTGAAGCCTGCTGATAACTGGAATATTCAGAAATGTAGGGAAGGTATAATGTAGGATGCTGCCTCCAGTGGCATCATTTCTCTGGGAATGACTGAGGGAGCTGCATCATCTTCTGCCCATATCCATCCCAGTTCTGAGACAAGAGTCTCAGAAGAAAAGTCAAGGAGGTCAGCGTTATGCAATCCACAGATCTGAGCCACTGTCTCAGACACAAACAGTGATTAAATAATTTTACCCTGCTGTGAACACACAGTCATTAATATTTGAGAAGTTCTCAGTGTTGGGAAAATCTCATGCGAGGTGATGAGGAAATTAAGAGTTTTGCATTCCACAGAGTTGGATAGCGAACACTAAGAAACGGCTGTGGCCATACTGAATAGAAACTGAAGACAAATGCATAGAAAATTGCTTATTTACTGAACAATGCAGTGCACCTGGGGGACAAGGTGGGAGGGAGAAGGAAGAAATATAAGTCATGTACGATAGGACAGCAAAATAAAGCCTGTCAGATCATTTGATTTCATATTGTTTGTTTGTTAATGCACTACACTTCCACTCAGTTGCTTATGTAAACAGTACACAAGAATCTATCTTCATCAGAATTTCTGGATGTGCCACTTTGAATACAGAACTCATCTGCTTTTTCTAGTATCTTTTTCAACCAATCGGGATAAAGCACTGGCCACAAATTTAGCTACTACCATGGCAGGTAAGATATGAATCCAAACATACATAAAATGTGCATTTAATTGTACTAAAAAAAAAAGTCACACAGGTTGTGACTGATCACATAGAGACCCCAAAGGACTAAGCTTCAGCGTTCTTTCACAGCAGGCAAATCACGGCTCAGGAGAAAGGATCAAACTATTCAAGAGCCTGATTTACAGAAGTACTTACAAAAGGCAAAACCTCTGGCTCCTTTTAGAACTTTGGTGCAGTTTTTCCCTTGCTTTCGGTGTTTTACTGTGATGTCTGGAAACCACACAGTAATCCTTGAACATTTATAAAGACTTCAGGAAGTCATGGACTGTGCATTTGCTTTCATTTCACCTCTCTGGGTCTTTGGAACTACACACCCAAAATGCCAGTGCTTCTGTGAAACGTGTCCTAGAGCTACAGGGGAGCCAACCCAACTGGCACTGATCCTCCTGCACTAACAGCAGTTGCTCTATTTCTGTAGGCAGGGAAACGAGCACAAGTATTCAGCTAGGAAGTTTGGTAGAGAGCTCAAAGACTCGGTCTGCCAGCAGCAAGTAGAGGATCTGTGAAGTGAAACACCTCATGGTGAGGACCCGAAGGCCCCACTGTAGGCGTTTCGGGGGGTCGTACACCGGGCTGGCTCTAGGCTCAGGCCAGGGACCCAACGTCAGTCCACTTTTGGAGCATGCCTTCCAGTTCAGCTTCATCCAAATGGGATCTTGTCTGTGAGCCCCAAACAACTTCTACACTGTGACCCAAAGATCATTAAACAGAAAAGATGAGGAAATTCATTTCAACAGTGAATCTGATGAGTCAAACACTAATGCAGACACGCCTAAAGAAACAGATGGTAGCAGCCTAACTCACACCAATGGAAGTTTAAGAGTGCTGTGCAATTTTGGCAAGCAGCAGCCAAAGAGCACTAATAAACCTGTACATCAGCATGGTTTTCCTATGCAGATCTAAAAAGCTACTGACACTTCCTCTCTCATTAGCTGCTACTAACAAGGTAAAAAAACCCCTTGTTGAGAGTCACAGCTGCAAAAATCAAGCCCTCGGCTTCCAGCCCAGAAGTTTATAAAACACAAGACCAGTTCCTATTGCAGAAACCACTTTTTATCTTTATAAATGCAGAAGTTTAATAATCCTTCTGAGTTTCCTATGAAATATCATCTGGAGAAACACCCCCCCCACACACACACACATTCATACACATATGTGCATGTATTACTTTACCTGATAGATAAACCCACTCATTCTCGGGCTGGCAGACAACATTAGCAAAATGTTAGGGAAGAGAAGAAGATACCTTTCATTCTTTTCCTTATCAAAAAAAAGAAAATGAAAAAGTAAATACAACATCACAAGCCCCCTCCCCCCTTTTTCTGTTTTATATTATTAAAAGCTACTAATGTTAGAACTCTGCAATTATTCCACAAATATTTGCTCCTGGCAAAATTAACTCTCCATAGAATAAAAATAATTAAAAAAAAAGGGAGCAAAAAAAGCCAGAATTATTTGATTTTCTATTTGCAAAGTGCTAGTAACACATGCCTATACTTCTTCCTGGAGAGTACGGCCTAATATTTTAAAACAGCAATTTTACAGTCTGGGTGAAATACTGACCTTGTTTAATATGATAACAACTGTTTTGCTGATTTCAGCAAAACCAAAATTACACATTGGATATATTTCTTAATATAGTTTAGATGGATGTTGTTACAGTAATGTCAAGACCATGGTCTCTCAAATTGGAGAGATCAGATTTTTGATTGATACTGAAATATGCCCTGAAGTAGAAAAAGAATATAAAAGAAAAGTAATAATTTTATATTCACACCAGAGATACTCATTACTACATTCTGATTTAAATTTGCTGGTTTCACTTAGGAAGTTGTCCTTTGTGGTTTTGTTTTGGAGGTATTTTTATGGAAGGAGGAGGTTTACTCTACATCTACTGCTATAGACAAACAACGAAAGAGAGAAGCATTAAGGTATATCGTTTTAATGGCAAAACAAATACATCCATTGACATAGCCACCATCTCAATTTCAAGCATCTCTGCAAAACAATACAAGTCCTTACCAAGTTTTAATGTTTCTATCCATTTTTCAGTAAACATTTACAAATGTCTATAAAATTTTTGAAAAGAGAAAATCAAAACCAATTGCTTTTGCACAGATGAAGCTATTCTATATCCAGCCAAAAAGCTGTAATGCTACGCAGAAACTTCTAAAAGTCCATTACGCTTGACATTTTAGCTCATGATGCAAGTGGGGGTTGAATAGTGTTTTGTTTTTAAGACTACAGGAAGAGACATGACTGCAGAAGATGCACTATCTTTTTTTATTCGTGATTTTTATTTTTTTTTTTTATTTTAACGCCTAACAAAAATGTCTGAGAGAAAAATATCAGGTGATGAAATTTTAAATAATCAGTTGCATAAGCACTTTTCTCTTTCTTCGTATTTATGGACATCTTTGTTCTAAGGGAGGAAACTGACTGAATGAGGTTACAATTCAAAAGCCCGCTTCAGGTTCAAAGCTTCATTGATTTTAGAGGGGAACAACTTACAGTAAAAGCATGTCAGTAATCTGTATAACATTTTCTTTCTGTTATCACTTGCTTTTAAGATTATTTGAACATTATTTCTGGTAGGACAACCTTTTCGTTGTGTGTTTTGTTTGTTTTGAAAAAAATCACCCCAGACTTTGCAGTGTCACCTTCAACTTTCTAATGTCTCTTCTTATTCTATTTCTCCAAACCCACTTGGTTCTCAAGCTTGTATTTCAAAATTTACTACTTAAGCAAAGTGCCCAAAACAGTGAGGAAAAAGTGAATCTTAGACACCTTACAACACAAAAGATGGAAGTTTTTGTTATTTAAAACATGCTGTAAAACGGCTCTGCAAAATGATCCTGTAACATAACTACACATGGAAAACTCTGTTTAATTATGCACTTTCAAAAGAGTCCTGCAAAAATATCTTACAATGTTTATAACTGCTATATTCGGTTACGTTTCAGTAAATTTTACAGATGAGACCACACGTCTTCAAGGAAATTTATTTCAGGTTTTATAATAAAAGCCTTAAATCAGTAGAGACAGATTTTAGTCTAGATGAACACCTCTGAAGCATTCTGTTTATTTCTGCTGCATAATGATTATAATTAATTTTATTCAAAATGGAAAGAAAGACCAACAGTAAAGATGATAAGGACATTACCTCACTTCCAGCACACTGAATCATGACCTGGGACATGTAAATCACATTGCCAAGTGTTTTAATATCCTCTCCCTCCCAACAACGGATAGCTTCTGTCAGTATTTGTAGTTCAAGTTCTTTCCGTTTCCGTACTTCTTGACATTGTGCCTAACAAACGTAGCAAAAAATACCATCTCTATCAACTCTATCAATTTGGAGCAGGTTAAGGGTAGAAATACCACTACAGTTTTCTTGACTGTTGTCCTTGTAGTACACAAAAGACAGCACCTTACTTGAAGCATTTTCATTTAGGTGACTATTACCAACTTTTCTTATGAAACTAGTATTGCTAACTTCAATATTATTACTTTTCCCTTCAATACGCTGACTTCAATTACCATTCTAAATTCATAGTCATAGCTCTGTTTCTCAAATTTCTCCGGTTTTTACATTTTAAATTTTTGTACTTCCAACCAAAAATGGCTAGGCTCAGCAGAAAAGATTAACACAGCTGTCACAAATACACATGACTATACAACAAAGCATCTTTCTTTAGTAAAAAGAGCCACACTGATTGTGCAAACTACGAGTGTGTATAACCTTGTGTTCCTACTTATTAAATGTCTCCAACCTGCTCTACTACATGCACTCCCATTCATTTGAATTTTTCTCAGCAAGAATTGCTTCCTCTTGTTTGTAAAGCACTCAACAGAATGTGATCCCCAAACCTCTTCAGAACACAGAACACTAAATTTCTGCTTTAAGAAATAAAAAAATAGAAAAAGCCAGGTTACCACCAGCACACACTCCTAATAGGAAGCACAAAACATTAAGCTTATTTTAACTCAGACTGCACTAAGTATATACTTCTTGTACTTGAGGTGCATTTTTTTTATTTTTTTAAGACAGAGAGCTCATCTGTTCAAATTAGGCTTCTGTTCCAATTATTACTAGCAGCTTTCTATCTTCTGAACTTCACTAGCACTTTCACCTTCATTCTCCCTCCCCAACTCAAACACTATTCCCCTAGAAGGCATGTACTTTAATTGAGCGCATATTCTGAATTTTTTCTAACGTAAAGAAGCCCTTCTTCAGGACACCAGTTATATTAGCACTAGTAGAAAGGGAGGCAGAGCATGAGTGAGAGGGCAGACCAAGAGGTGGAGAATACTTTGCATGGCTCTTACATCAAGAGTCTATTTGCTATAACACCCAGCAAATTACCATCCTTATCTCTGCCCACAGACAGCATCAATTTCCAGGCTTTCAAAAATTTCTTATACATTTACAAAAAAAGTCAGGGTTTTTTTAAAGCAATAGAGGGGGATGAAACTAGAAAACATTCTACTTAAAATACATTATCTAATTTTTATCAGTCTTACAGAAAGATTTTTGAAGGCTGTCATAGATTTTTGAATATCTGGACGATCCGGATGATAATCCTAAAAACAATGGAGAAAAGATACATAAAAACTTTAGTCCCAGTAAAATTAAAAAAAAAAAAAAATTAGAGGCTTAATTAAATACAAATAAACAATTCTGTAAAACAGAACTTGTAGACAGATCTGCTCTCTTTTCACAGCCTTCTTACTTATACTTACACTTAAAATAGAGCCAAGGAAGTTTTACGAGATCTAGTGGGTAAGAGAGACTTCTAAATCCTAACAGGAAAGTGTTTATTTTAAAGAGCTCTATTTGGCATGTTATTTTGCCAGAAACTAGATTCCTTACAGACTAGTATGTTCCATTGTCAATGACTGACAAACCAAATTGTGTGACAAGACAAAGACCCATACGCTTTCTATTTTTCTCCCTCCTTCACACTCCAAAAATCTAACCTATGAAATGCAAAGGTGGAAACAATAACTCCTCAAACACCTTCCCATATTGGAAAGATCATTTTTGGACACTGTTCAATAGAAGTCAAATGGACTGTTTTGGTGACATGTTTGACACACTGAGGTCCTAAGATGAGAAGCAGCACTCTGACAAAATAAAGTAGCCTCAGGTAGTATGCAGCAGACATATTCAATGTCAAATCAACCGAAGACCCTCCTAGGCTGTTCTAGTAGTGAAGATTAGCTTCTCTGGCTAGTTTTACTTTAAATGTGTAGCTTTTACAGGAAGTTTTACTGCACTAAGTTTTAAATCACTGCAGCCCATATTTTAGAAGGCTGACAGAAGAGCAAACAAATGTAATTTTGGGTCCCATCATGTTTGACATGTACCTTTAAAATAATTGTTGTCAAATCATCATTAAGCTGGAACATAAATGCTGATAAGATATACCTCCATGTGCCTTTCAAGTTCTTTGAGTAACGTGGGGTATTTATCCAGACGCATAAAAGGTTTGCTGAGGCCCGTGGTCAGTACAAGGATCCCAGGGCTGTTGGCACCTTTCACCTCCATGAATTCTCCTAGCTCCTCACTGTGTACACAAGATATTTAAGCAAATTAAGACCAAATTACCAAAAGAATTAAAATTACATTGGATTCTTTATTTCAGTCTTTCATCCACAATGAATTCTGTCAGTAAAACAACAGGCCAAATAAATCAAAAAGTAATCAAAAAGTACAACTTAAGTGCTGCGGTCAGTTTTTGCATTAAATGAAATGCAGGAACAAAGACATTTGCAGATTTGGGGTCTGTGCAGGGAACAACAGACATAGGATCGAACCCACCGTTATAGGAAAACAATGCTCAAAAACCAGCTCCTAAATTCTACCCCATCCAAGCAACAATTACAGAATAAAGCCACTTGTGCTGTATTTTATTACTCAGCTCTTTATTCTAGTAAAATGACATCTGACTTCAGAGGTGGTTTACACAAGTAATACACAAGCATAAATGAGTCAATGGCTTCACATTTAACCAAGCATTGGTATTTTTGAGGTGTCAGGCACTAATGAGAAGACACAGAATATTTCAGAACCCTTTTTTCCTCCCACACTTACATGTTTAATGATCTCATCTCACCTCACACATCCATGGTGTTACTGCAAAATGACCAACTAACCAGACATACAAATGGTAGACCATAGCAGAAAATTACTGCGCAATCTATTCTCAAACAAGGTAGGGATACACTGAGGGTGCACTTACACAACACAGTTGTTTTGACAGCAAAGATACTGTAAGAAATCCACGGTCTCCCAGTATCATGAACTGCTACTTCTCCTATCTAGATGTTTTTTCATATTTGAACCATTTACAAAACCAGATCCAGCCCCTCAACTTTTGACATTAACTCTGTTAAAAAAAGCAGCACATCTTGGGAATTTCAGCTCACTTTGCTATCAAAGAAACAAAATAGCTACATCTTCTGTTTCCTTATAATGCACAGTTTTCAGAGGACTGTGGTGGAGGACAAGCTTTCCCAGAGTTTAAATGACCAGGAACAAAATGAGCCCTCTTCGTGGGAAAGGGAAGGTATGGTAGCACCTAGGCTGATTTCCAGGCTTCAGAAAAGACAAGTTGCTGAAGAACATGGGATTCTAAAGAAAAATCTAAGAAAATCAGAAAGATGCTTATTGAAAAGATAACACCTTCTTGCATTCAAGCTGTGTCATTCTAGACACCTGCAGATGGGGTCGCTCATGTTTTGGGTCCTTGTTATAGTAAATGAATTAGTTCTCCAAAAAACCCACAACAAAAACCACTATTCTCATGTGCCGTTCGTGTAAATTCTACTCTAAGATACCCTGAAAATCCTTAACTTTCTACTGATCAATAGCATTACGCCTCCATAAGTCAGAATAACTACTGAAATTTTTTTTCCCCTCCCTGGTTATTGGCATAGTCTCATTTTTCAAAGGAAGCCGTAGCCAGCTACCAGATTCAGTACTTTTAGAAAGTGTAAAAACAGTGTCAAACCTCAAACAGCAATAAAGAAGGAACACTTGTACAATATGGCAACATTAACAAAAAGAGAAGGATGAGAATCTCCAAACCTAGAGCTAAGTGTTTCCATGCACAAGTGAAAGCAAATCTTGACCTGCTCAATCTCCCTAGGAAAAAGACCCTGATAGGACACTGCCATAACAGACATGCTCAACTATCAGTGAGTCATGCTATAGAAAAGAATTACACAGATTAAGACAAAACAGACCTCCCTACCTCCCCCAAGACACACACACGCTCCTTCCCATTTCAGAACAAGTGACACTTTGCTTATTAACGCAATTTGTCCAAACAGATGAAGAGAGCAGAACCGTAACCTTCCCATCCCAGTGTAATTGCTTTACTCACCATCCCACCCAGATCTTTCTCCTGGCTGCTAAAGCTTTCTCAGGTTCACAGAAGAGAAGGTACTGTTCCATACAGTTTCCTCCAATGTTTACTTGTCTTCAGATCAACTGATTGGTAATAGTTACACTACCTTGCTTAAATATACCCAGCACCATTTCTGAATTGTCTGGTCCAACACGACCTTACACGACCTCTTTTAGAGCACTCCACCCCCCTTCTCACCAGGCCCAAGCACTCCTTGGTGCATGTATTTGTGCAATTTCTGCTGTACTCAGAGCCAAGAAAGCGGGTGAAGGGATTTCCCAACACCTGCTTTGCATTCTGAAGATGCAAAGAGAAAGGCTGAGCACATTTGAACATGCCCACAGTTCCCCCCGGCAGACCCTGCTACATCCCTCTCAAGCAACATGTATCAGCAACTACAGGCCTCCTAAAAAAAAAATCACCTCATGACACAATCAGGTTTTAGCCAAAATCAAAACCCACTGAAAAGCCTCCTACAGTACCTTGCATGAAAAATTATAGTACTACAACACAGGTAGACCTGAATATCTTCCTAGATTAAATTTAGATTCAAGAAATAAAGCTAGCCAACTCTGAATACCTAGAGGCTGAAGACCTACTTTGCCTCACGCTTTCTTAGTCACAGCCCTTACTCAGCATAAAATCACACCCACTTCAGAATTTGATTCTCGTGGAACCCTAAACAATGCTAAGGATTCTGACTCATGTTTCGGTTTTACAGTGTTACCAGCTTACTTGTTCATCGAGGATTCAGGCTCATTCCCTGACACATTAAGCTGCATGGCTATGGTGTGGTGGCACGTCCTCTACTCCTGACTCAGCTAAAAGGGAAGAAGCTGTTTCCAGCAAGGTGGTTAAGGCACACAAAGGTACAGCATGGACCCAGTTTCCATGGGAAGCTTTACCAAAGTTCACCTGTGAAAGTCCTTCTGGCAGAAGACACTCAGTGGTTTGAAATTTCAATTCACTGTGTATATGACACTGACAGTGTGCACGCCGCTGCACTTTTTGTTTTATCCATCAGTTCGCCCTGTAAGCACCCCTATCCATGTCAGCATCGACATTAGATTATATATGGTACATGGTAAGTATCTTCCATCTATTTTATTTTAATTGAAAGATGACTGCTACAAGAACCAACAGGAAGTAACCGTTTAAACTCACTCTTTGAATTTTGTTTGCTTCAGCCAGACACACAGCCCACACTGCCTAACTTTTATCAACTATTCCCTTTCACATTATCTGCTATTCTTCCCCAGTTCAGGCAGCACAATCTACATGCAGCACTACGCAGATTCTCCTTTCTCCCCAACACAGCAGAATGCTCTACAGGACATGCCAATTGCAAATACCATGGGTCGTTCAATTTGACATTGTTCTGAACAGCGCTCATTTTTGCCTTCAGATTGCAAAGACACAAAACTCCCCATTCCTAATTACTTCAGCCATCTCCATGCTTCTGGCTGCATACAAATGCATTATATAAGTGGTATTTGCTGGACTGTCCACAAGTACAACGCTTGCACTTCCCCTTCCCCTCCACCCCTTTATCTTTTTTTTTTTTTTCTTGTACAGTAGGAGGAACACTGGTTACCATTTCACCCACATTCACATTTCCAACATTCATTATCACTGTTCCATATCTTCCCAACTTCAGCATTACGAAATAGACGTGTGAGAAATGGGAAAACACTCACTGTAGCCTGAATTAAAATCAACTACTTGAAAACCTAAAATAAAAACCAGTATTATCTTGTTTTTGCTGTCTACTCTGCAATGCCTTTAACACCCTCTGTGGTTACACAATGTTGCAGCAGTTTCGAGGCCATTCAGTGCTCCTCCACGTAAGATACTTGGTTGTTTATCATCACCTTTTTACTTAATCACAGTATAGGAACCCACAGAGCAAGTTTAAACCTCAGCTCAGCTGAAATGTACACAAAGTCCTGAAAAACACACTTAGCAACAGCATCATCAGCAGGAAGCCTTTTACATGGAGCAGTGTTAATAGATGTAATTAAAATTGAATGACGTAGTTTTCCTCCTAACATTCCCAAGAGGATAACGTTTTCTTTCATACATTTCTGACAAGTTTTGACATGCCAGCTTGTTCAAACTGCAGTATGAGAACATACACACACACTCTTTTAACACAACAGTATCCAAAATTTTGTCTGAGCAGTTCCATCATGCAGACTCTGTCAGCAGTCTACTCGTTAAACCAACCTGCTACCTCTGCAGCTTCATGGACCTAAATTTCTGGTAAAATGTACATTATTTTAGCCCAAACCTTAAAGCGAGCATCCTTCATTTATTCACAAATGACAAATACAACATGGAACATAATGAAAAGGTTTATTTTCAATTAAATATGGGTGGGTTAAAACAGTCTGAATATGACAAAGGTTCACAACTGTTTTTTAATTAATAGCAGCTTAGAAGTCAGTGTCATTAGCTTAAGAGCACAGCTACTTTGCTAAAGACAATGGCTCTTTCATCTCACAATTTCAACTGATGCCTGTAAGTACCATATTCTCCTAGGCAGTATATACTAAATAAAACTCCGGCCCACAGCTAAGGAGAACATTTTAAAAAAAGGTATCATTTAGCTGAACAGGAAAAACTTCTCAACGGTGAAATCATCAACTTAGTCACAACTGCCTAGATAAGTAGCTTTTCAGAAAGAGGCAGCTGAGATTTGAATTCACTGCTTCTGTCATTTTACAGAATAAAATGCAGAGAAGCACACAAAAGTGCTGTGCTTCGTTCATCCTGAAATCTCGAACTGAAGAGTTCTCCCCACACCAGACTAGAGTTCGGTCACAGCTTGAGATATTTTAAAGGTCACCATAAAAAGTGACTTTACACTCTATTAATATATTCAAATCTTTCTTAGTACAGCTGCCTCAAAAGCTGCAAATCAGACTGGGGGGAAGGAAGAAAATGAGTTCCGATGTGCCTAGAGTAACAGGAGGCAAAAAGAAAAAAACAAACCAACATTGAAACTTGAGAAAAGCACATCCAGGAACTAAAATGTACATATTTAAAATCCCAACTTACACTTCTGAAGTAGGTCTCTGTTTATAATAGATGGAGCACGAGCTATCACTGCTGAGGGGTCTGAGGACTGCACACAGGCACCGCATTCTGAGAGC